AAAAGATGGGAACATATGGGACGGGGGGGGGAGACAAAAACCCAGAAGATATGGGAAACTGTGGGCAATCCTGTTATTTGTTTATTTATTTGTGTGTCCCAGGGCCCCTTCATACTTGTCACACGCAGGCGAAAGGAGTATCCATAACACCCCTTGCCGAAGCGGGCAACATGCGCACGAGCCTGTCCCTCCACACGCCGCATCCAGAAGTCGGCGGGGTGCCCCGTACCAGGGCGCTGCCGCTGCCTTGCCGGACCCGTGCCGCTAGCAATCGAATGTCCGTTTTCGCTGATCCTTTTCGAGCAAAGGGGAGAGCCTCGTCGATCCGCGAGCGGCTTGTGTGCGTCGTACCGCGCTGCCGTCCCCAGCGGCGTCGTCGATCCGCGGTGCCGGGGGGACGAAAAGGTACTGATACCGCTACTCTCCAGACCTCTCGGGGGGTGCGTTCCGACCAGGACTTCGAGGCGAATTCAGCCGTGGCGACGAGGGAAGAGTTGCGGTATTGGTATCTGTTTCTCCTCTGAGTTGCACTGTCACTCGGCCTCCCGGGCTGGCACAGCTGTGCACCGAGCGGCGCCAGACTGATGCCGCAAGGAGTCCAAACAGGGTACGGTGCATTAGTTCTGTTCTCGGATGATTGAGAGCACGGCCGAGGCACCCTGGACATGGCCGCCGACGTGTTGGACATCCTGAAGAAGAACGGCCTCGAGCGCGGCGTCAACGACCTGAAGGCGAGAGCGGTTTCGCCCAGTCTCCTGGCGGCGCCGAGCCAGGGGGTGGCACGAGGGGGCGGTCTTCTAAGAAGGCCGAGGGGCCTCTTAAAAAGCAGCGGCCTGGTTGGAGGGCCCCGGAGGCTTTGAGAAGATTTCTTATCGGGTGTTGCTAGAAGTGCCCCTGGCCCAAGGTGCCCCCAGCTTTTCGTTCCATTTTGGAGTCTCTGGGGTCCTATGGGCCTCGTGAGGGGTGCCCTGGAGGCCGCCTGGGCCACCCCGAGAATCCTGGGGGTACATTGTGCCAGGGGTACTTCTAGCAACACCCGATCTTCGAAGCATGGCGGGCTTCTCAGAAGCCCCCCCTGCCTCCTGAGACGCAAGGCCGCCTGACTAGAATGCCCCCCCTCGCGCTGCCCCCCTTGTGGGCGCCGCTAGGTGTCGGAGGGCGTCGACCATACACCCATGGCAGTCCCGGCCACTCCCATCCTGGGCTCATGGTCGGTGAAACCGCCGTCCCAGCGTGGCCAGGAAGGGAGAAAGGCAAATCCCGGGCCCACGATGAGGCCTGGCCAGGCAGGTCTATAGTTGACACCCTTAGTCAGTCGACGAAAAAACTAAAAAGGCCTTCGGCCCATTCCGCCTCTTCGCCCGGATCGTGTACTGGAGGCCTTGAGGGCATTTGTGGGCTCTTCGGGAGTTCTTGGGGGCTCGTGGGGGCCACCGTGGCGCACTTGGGTGCGTCTTATTTTGGCTTATCGGGGCCCCTTGTGAGCCTCTCGGCTGTCTTGGGATCATGTTGGAGGGGTTGGCTTCAGCGGCGTGATGGTTTCGGGTCCCTCTTGGGGCCGTCTTGGGTGCTGGTTGGACCCCTCATTGGGGCCTCTTCGGTCAGCCTGGGACCGTCCTGGGGGCTTCTTTGGCCGTCTTTGGCGCTCTTGCGACCGATGTGGCGCGAATGGCCAGATAACACAGAAACCTGTGATATTCATTTCATTCGGGTTTCGTTGGCTGGCCCCGAGTGCCTCCGAGACAGCGCGCGAGACTCGAGTGCGCCGAAGTTGGCCCAGGCTAACCCCAAGACCGCTCGAGTCGCTCCAGCTGGACGGGGGGGCAGCTCTTCTCCGTAGGCTCCCGCCGCTGGCGGGGAAGGCATCAAAGGGAAGGGGCTCCCCTCTGGCTCGATTGCGACCTCGGTCGATCCACCTCGGGTTGGCGAGCTTGGGGAGCCCCAGATGTGACGAACGAACAACACACACCCATACCCATAGGGAGGTCGGAGGGAGGAGGACTGGCTATGGGTATGGGTGCGAGTTGTCGGATCCCTGGGGAGGCTCCCGTTCGAGCGGGGACCCCCACCCGACAACACGCACCCATAGCTCATTCCGTCCCCCCTATGGGTATGGGTACGTATTGATCGTTCGTCAAGATGGCCGCAGATGGGTGGAGGCTTCGAATGGAGAAGTGGTTCGGTGGACCTTCCCGGGACGATCACCCGAGGACTCCCCTTTGACAAACGCCGACGGGGTCGGTGGATGGGCCCCTGGAAAAGTCACGCAATGTAGCGTCAGTCATCGTTGGGTTTCCTGCACCAAACACATTCAAACACACATACATCAGGAGGGGAAAAAACACAGTCAAACTTAATCGTCGATCCCCCAGAAAATATGGGAAAATATGGGAAGTGGGGGGGAAGACAAACACCAAGAAAATATTGGAAAATATGGGGATATTTTATTTGTGTGTATTTATTTGTGTGTCCCAGTTCCCCTTCAATGACATTCATCGTATCGGTTAAACCGTTTTTTGCGCAGAGCCGGAATCTCCAATCTACATATGTGTATAGCACGTCTTTTTGATGCAATTGTTTGTTGTCATTTCGTCTTTTATCGACCGTGTCTGCGAGCCATTGGCCCCAAGGTGAACATGATGGCCGAGCTGCCCTCAAACGTCTTCCTCGCCGAGGAGTTCCTGGATTACTTCGACGGCTTCTCCATTGGCAGTAACGACTTGACCCAGTTGACTCTTGGCCTCGACCGTGACTCAGGCCTGGGCTTTCGCTGCCAGGGCTGAACCCAAGCGCTGTTTTGCTGGACGTCGGCTGTGCTTTGTTTTTGTTTTGGCAGGGAGGTACAGGATAACAGGTAGAGCAAAACGAAAAACAAAGCGACACAAACACAACACACTACGTTTAGGTCCCGCCCTGTTTGCTGCTGCCTGCCGATGGATGGAGGCACGGTGCATCCTTGGAGCCGGGGCGCCTCGCCGTTTGCCGCTTGCTCGCCATGGGCTCGCGGCAGGCCTGAGAATAAACACGCTGGGAAGACGAGCATAGCACGGTGATGATGGTGATGATGATGATGATGATGATGATGATGATGATGATGCTGATGATGATGATGATGGTGATGCTGATGAAACTTATGATAGTGATGCTGATGCTGATGATAGTGATGATGGTGATGGTGATGATGGTGATGATGATGCTGCTGATGATGATTATGATGATAATGATGCTGAAGATGCTGCTGATGATGATGATGATGATGATGGTGGTGATGATGCTGATGATGGTGGTGATGAGCGATTTTTACGTGTCAAGTAGTTTCAGTTGATCTTCCCATCCCGTGCCCACCTGTGTTTTTAGCTGAAGCGCCCCTCCCAGGGCTCGCACCCTGTTTGTTACGGGGAAAGTCTTGGGTCTCTACGCTGGGCCCCTCACGCCGAACTGCAATAGCAACAGCTCCCGCCCGATACTTCCACTAACGTACTGGAGAATCGCGCTCTCGCTCGGGAACTCTTCGCAATTTGCCAAGTCGCGCGTGGGGCTTCCTCGCAGTTCACTCAGACGCCGCGCCCTCGACACGCAGGAGTCACGCTCTCGCTCTGGACTTCCTCACGGGTTGCGTGAGAATCGCGCTGTCCGCAGAAACATCCTCGCGATTCCTGCTATACTGACGCTTCGGCGACGCGCCCGCTCGACCCGGCCGTCGGGGCCCGCCCGCCCGACCCGGTGGTTAGGGTGCGCCCCTGGCTTTCCGCACTCCGTCCTCCTCGCTTTCTCGGGCCGGACAAAAGGGGGGGATTGGGAAAGAGGGGGTTACGAAATTTGCTGCATGCAGCTGGTTTCGGCCTCACCGAGGGGCCCATTCCTCGATACATAGCCGCCTCCGGCTCCGGGAGGCGCCGGGGAAATCAGCTACGTGAGCTGATTCTCATACCCCCCCTTTGCCATGCCCCCCTTTCGCCCGACCCGACTTTCTCTTTTTTCCCGACTCCCTCAGCTTCCCGTGTTAGGGGCTGTGCCAACTGCACGTGGCAGGTAAGGACGATTTATTTTTGAGTGGGGTACTATGGAAGACGAAGAGGGCGGGCATCGAGGATTTGGGATATACATGTTAAAAGAAACACACGGGCAGATAAAGAACGAGCAGTCTTAAGAGCTGGTCGTCGTTGTTGTCGTGGTCGTGGTCGTGGCCGTGGTGGTGGTGGTGGTGGTCGTCGTCATCGTCGTCGATGATGATGCTGATGATGTTGATGTTGATGTTGAGGTTGCTGATGCTGATGATGCTGATGATTCTGATTATGATGATGATGGTGATGATGGTGATGATGGTGATGGTGGTGATGATGTTGCTGATGGGGATGGTGATGGTGGTGGTGATGGTGATGGTGATGATGATGCTGATGCTACTGATGATGATGCTGATGATGATGATGACGATGATGATGATGATGATGATGATGATGATGATGATATGATGATGATATGATGATGATATGATGATGATGATGATGATGATGATGATGATGATGATGATGATGATGATGATGATGATGATGACGATGATGATGATGACGATGACGATGATGATGATGATGATGATGATGCTGATGCTGATGCTGATGATGATGATGATGATGATGATGATGATGATGATGATGATGATGCTGATGATGATGATGATGGTGATGATGATGGATCGGGGTGGAGGGCGATACTGTGGTACGGATGATCGTTTTCTGCTGTTCGGCCACCAGCCGTCTTTGCGGCTCCTGGAGCGGCCGCCGGGGGACAGCGGACGCTCAGAAGCAGCCGCCCGCAGAGAAACAAGACGGCGCCTTCCAGGCCAGGGGTGGACCTAAACGGTGTTTTGGCGATTTCGTGGGCCGTTTTCGTTTCGATGTCGTTTTGCGTCAAAGGCGGACTGAAGACAACACGGGGGAAGACGAAGTCAAAACGACAACGAGAAGCACCGTTTAGCTTCAGCCCTGCTCGGAAGCAGCCGCCCGCAGAGAAACAAGACTCGGGGGCGGACAGAACCCCCAACAGTGACACGTCGATTAGTGAATTGTCCGTTTTCGGTTCTCGAGAGGGCGCCGCGGCCGTTATTTTCCAGGCTTGCGCCCGCCAGGTTTGGGCCTCAGGTCGTTTTCACTAAACCACGTTTTACTAAAGGGAGGTCTGTCCATCCCCGAAAGACGGCGCCCTCCAGGCCTCGTCGCGCAGTATGCGGGAGGCTGGCGCCATGCCGCGAGCGCGCCGGGGCGCCGCGGGGCGCCGCGCGGGGGCGGGTGGCTCTGCGAGAAGCGCGGCGCCGCTCGGACGTCTGCCTCCTCCTCCTCCTCCTCCTCCTCTCTCTCCTCCTGCTCTCCTCCCCCCCCTCCTCCTCCTCCTCCTCCTCCTCCTCCCTCCTCCTCCTCCTCCTCCTCCTCCTCCTCCTCCTCCTCCTCCCCTCCTGGACCTCGTGGAACACCTTAAGAAAGAATCTGATCGCTTCTTCGTATTCTTTTCCCGTCGCAGTCGTACTGGCACTACATTTCGTGTCGCAGCTCGCTTTCTCTGTAGACGCTCCTAGGCCAGGCCGTCGCTGAAGGCGAACTTAGCATACCATATGATAAACCATGGTAGGAGCTTGGAGTTGCTCGGGAAAAAGAAAAAACGCTCGAGACCAAGCAGTGCACAGTGCACGGGGACAGACGGCCGAGCGGCGGCAAGGCAAGAGCCACATAAAGCCAGGACGCTGGCATCAGGATCGCTGCTGGGGTTGGGAAGGGGCCCGTTGGTTCTGAGGTCCTTCCGCGGTGGTTCCTCCAGCCGTCCGCGTGCACCCCCGCGCTCTGGGGGTCAAAAAGGGGGCCACGTTCCCTATTTTCCATTCCTGATTTCAGCAGTCCGACTGTAGCACAACCATGGAGAATCGGGGAACAAACAATGACATACTTACGCAGGACGAAAGATTTTCCTCTTGAGGTGCAAAAGGCGATGGTGAGTTGGAAGTTGATGACAGAACCCCGTTCCCCCGTAGAATCTTAACACGGGCGGGTTCCGGGGTCCGCGGATCCGATGTCCTCCGGTTCCCCGCTTTAATTTTAGTGGTATGAATTTAAAATGGGGTAAAATTCGGATCCGCCGAAAAACATAAGACCGAACACGGATCCAGCAAATCCGAAATCAGATCCGCGCGGACGGAAATCGTAACCACCGGGACAAACACCAAAGCCAGACATGGGACTGCGGAAATTTCATGACATCCGACGGCGGTTATCTCATACGCGTTTGCTCAAGACTTCAAGCCGCCGTTCCGGGCCGAAGAGAGAAACTGTCGTCTTGGGGATGAAATCATAACCTATTGGAGTTCCGCGCAGATGTCTTGGATCCGCGCTGGGGCCCCCCTTGGCGGCACCTGGCGCCGCCGCTTGCGCCCGGAGCGCGCCATATACGGGGGCCCAGCGCCGATCCAAGAAATCCGCGCGGACCTTCGCATGTTTATGCTCATGCCTCTTGTTCGTCCTCCAGGAGCGACAGGAGGCAGGCTTTCAGAGACGGCGGCGGGGCTTTGGAGAGGGCTTATAGATTGGGCTCCGGGAGGCCCGGTGCCTCCCGAGCCGTGCCTTCTGCGAAGGCCCGCCCCGTCTGCCTTCCTCTGTGGGCGCGCCCTCGTCGCCACGGCCGGACTCGCCTCGAGGTTCCGGTCGCAGCGGAGCCCTCGAGAGATCCAGGGAGCGGCGGCATCTGTTCTGGACGCCCGAAATGGGCACGGAAAGAATGGGTACAATGCCCAACAGCAGTTCTTGTTCATTTTGAACAGGACTCGCTGTCCATGCCGCCGCGGCCTGTGTCAATTCGAGACAGAAGGCCGCCTGCCCAACAGCGGCCGCTGTTGGTTTGCGACAACATTTGCTGTTGGGCATTGTACCCATTTTTTCCGTACCCATTTCGGGCGTCCAAATCTGTATTTTGTTGTCTCGGAGCCAGGGGTCACAACGGAATCCTCGAGAGATGCAGGGGGCGGTGATCGTTTGGTTCCTTCCCAGGGCAACGCTGGTTACCCGGGCCAAGCTTCCCCTCTCCCCAGGGTAATGCTGACGATCGTACTGGGGGTGGTGGCCTGGACCCCCCCCTGTTTTGGTGCGCTCAGGCGATAGGTGCGCCGGTGGCGCGGACGCACCCTGGCGGGTGCACGCCGCGACCGGCGTTACCACTACCATCCCGCCCGAACCCCCCCCCGGGTGATTAATGATTGTTATCAGGGAAGGAAAGACAAACCGGTCACGCAGCGTTATCTGTACCTTCTTGTTGCCACAGAACCAGGGGCATCTTTGACGCCCGCGGGAGCGCGAAGATGACCGACCTTCGTTCTCTGCAGTCTGGGTCGGAGAGCCTTCCTTCTCCAAGGGGAGCGTCGCGGGGGCGGGAGGTTTGGCCACCCGAGGGGGCCTCGTTATGCGCCACTCGGCCCTTCCAGTAGGGCTGCCGCGGGTTTTGACGAGGAGAACCCGGCTGTGA